GAAAGTAAGGGAATCTGGCTCGTGGCGCTATAGCTCGGGTGTTACACAAAGGTGACATGGAGAAATGTGCGGTCTACACCAAAGACTCTACACACACTGGAATTCTCTCGTGAGCAACAGCCTTATTATAAACAGCAGCAAATTTTATGTTCTGAAGCAATTCGGTATCCAGCTTGTTCTTATTTTCAGGTTTGTTTGTTTTTTGGAGGTGTGAAGGTTGGTTTTCTTTTAATCTTCTGTGTTGAGAATGAAAAACAGGACGTGCTGTTCGCTTCTTCTCCCTCACCTGTTGTCCTTCGGGCTCTCACAGGACACAGAGTACTGGTAGGATTTTGTGCGGTTAAAAGCGGTCATCCTTCAGCTGTGCTTAGAGACGAATGGCGCTGCCCAATTATTTTATTATGCAGACTTCCCTGTGCGTGAGTGTATAGTAGGCGTATTGTATTTGTGTGGGTACCTACAGCTGTGGAAACACAGTGAAGAATCATGAACGCTTTGTCTACATCACCCACAGGCTTGCTCAATTGCTCTCTGTATCTCTCTCACAAACACACTACACAAGGGAACAAAGGGAGTAGGTCACCACAGGGAACATTGTGATGGCAGATGAGCAGGGCACTTTTCAGCCACATGTAACTCAACAACCCCTCTCTTCTTCCTCGTTTCCCCTCGTCTTCCTCCTCTCATTCCTTTAACATGTTTGCGCATAGAGGCCACATAAATTAGTGATCAGCACGCTCACTTGTTACGCACCAATCAGTCGTGGGTTTATCAGCGCTGGCATATGGTGGTGTAAAACAAACATTGCCTGCTATTATGGAACATGATCTCAGAGCTTTCCCACGTCTTTGCACATGCCAAAATATCAATTTGGGTTAAGGAAGTCATCACTGTGTGTGTGGGTGTGTGTGTGTGTGCCTCTGTGTATGTAAATGATAATCTTATCAGTTTTACACATGGAGTTTTGATGACATCTGAGTCATAGAAGCTGGCCAAGGCTCATGGAAAATTCACAGTGTGAATAAGGGCTGAGGCGGGCTCTACAGAGAGGTTCAACAAGTGTCTTTGTTGTTATACTCAAGTCACGATTACACCAAAATCAGGAGCAACTGTAACAAACAATGGAAATGTAAAATGCTCTGAAATGTAAATCAAGATCTTGCAATACAAATGCTACCAACCTCCCACCCCCAGTTTACTCATAACCAACAAACGTGTCTCTTATGATAAACACCAACTGTGACTCATGAGTCTGTCTTCAGTCAAATTCCTTTAGCTATATGACGCTTGAAAGCTTTTTTAAGGCGACTGCTTCAGTCTTTTCATTTTAGTCACTGCATCGTTAATATCTTTATTTAGTGCGAGCATGCTCACCAGCATCTTTTCCTTTTTAGCTCAGATAAACCAAATGTACAACATATGATCAGTAATAGGAAAATAGAGTTAAGAAGAAGCTAGGAAATTGTACTGAACAAATGCTTCCCTCAAGCATTCGCCTTGAGGGAAGAAAAAACTTCAAGTGAATGCTAATTTTGTTTTACACCTGCTGAATGTGTAAGCAGCTGTTTCCTAACCTGCTTTCCATAGTGTAGGCTGTAAACAGTTTAGTAACAAGTTAGGTTTGAAGCTTTTTTTGCTCGTCTAAAGTGACCACAAAAGCCGGTCCATGTGGATTTGTTCCATTGTTCATTTATTAAATATAAAATTCAAATTTAAAACAAAATCTGTCGTGCTCACATGCAAATATTAAGAAACCTGAAAACAAGATTTAACAAATTGAAAGGTGAGACCATTTAGGCCTCAGTCATACAGCCCTAGAGGCCGATCAGTGACCCAGTAGCAACTGGTTGCTAAGGAATTCAACTCAGTTCACTTCAATTTTGCCATCTATAATCCAGTGTTGAGATCCCCTCCCAGAAGCCTTGACGCCCACTCACAGCCTGGGCCATTTGACCTCAGTAAATCACATGATAGGGTGGGGCTAGGTTTCGCAATGGGCAATCTGTGGTTGAGGGTGAAGGAAGCAAGACAGGACAAAGACATGACGTGGAAGAGAGCCAGAGTTTAATAATAACTAATAATTAAGTGCAGACAGGTGTATAAACACAACTGAAGAAGAGACACACAATGCATCAACCCCCAACACCGTAGACTTATTGCAGAATACTATGCAAACTACGGGCAACTGCAGCAATCTGATAGCATCCAGAGCTATCACTAGGAGGGTTTTATGCCTCTTTGCCTGCATCATTCATCAGAAATTCAGGGAAAACACATTTTTCCCTAGGCCTCTGTAATTAGGTTTTAGTATTTCACTTATGTAAAACTGAGTGGCTCACAAGAGACAGATGGATTTATTACTATATTACTATGTACCCTCTCTGATGCAATATGTAATATGAGAAGTAACATCTTGACATGTTGCTTCTCCTGCTATTTATGCACAACTTTGAGCGTAGACCATTCATATTAAATCAACATACTTAACTCCCAGCTCTCCCATTATATTTAGCGATAAGCATGCTCTTCAATCTCCTCTGGCTTTGAGGGATTTTTGCGTTTTAATTGCAAAAAGTTTCACTTAAAAGGAGTCAAGATATTCACACATTCCTAACTTGACCTCTTTTCCTAGCATCTTAAGTACGCACCTTGTATGGTGAAGTCCAAATCTGACTAAAAATGGTATCACATGGCCTGTAGGTGAAGTCACTTCTGATGTTAAGCCAGCTACCCAGAGGGGTTCAGCAACAGAAGACCTGATGCACTTACATGGGGAGAAGACGTGAAAATAAAACAAGAGGGGAAAGGGGGGAGGATTAGGAGTAAAAGCGCTAATCTTCTTTTTTATTTTCCTCCAAATTTTTTGACCACAGTGAACAGCACACTGCAGCATGATGGCAGCTGACAGCTTGCTGAATCATTTAGAGCTGTGCATGTGTCAGATAGTGTGATTATGTGATTTCTCTACAGAAAGGCCCATATTATAAAGCATATATATTTACTGTGTCAACAAAAAACCAAGGCACTGAGATATAGCAGCTATATATTAATACAAATGCACGATGGCTTTACTGATCATTATTAAGTGTTTACTTTACTGTGAACTGATTAGTCACTTAGTAATTAATCGATCATTTAGGTAGAAATGCCAATGATTTGAGTCAGTCTAAGGAGCTTGGAAAGAAAAGCGTCTGGACTTGTTTAAGTTGCTTGGAGACGTTTCACCTCTCATCCGAGAAGCTTCTTCAGTTCTAAGGGTCAAATGGTGGAGAGTCCCAGATTTAAACCCAGTGGGAGTTTCCCCTCAAAGAGGGACAAAGGATCGCCTTAGACTACGATGACCTGGATGACTGAGAACCTTCACAGACAATGATTTGAGTCAGTTTCAGCATCTTGATCCAGATGTTCAGATGTTTGTGTCTTGCGTTATAGTAAAAAGATATTTTATTTAAAAACAGCTTTTTTTAGACGGAAAAAGCTGAATGAAAACAGTTCTTTTTTATATGAATGTGGACATTTTAGCATGTCAGTGCTGTGTTTGCGGCTTGACTTTAATTTATGATACTCAGACTTTTATGTGTTGCTCGTAGTTTGATTACATACAGTGTGAAAGTGTTAAGATTTTTGCATTAAATGTCAAACAAGGCCAGATGAATATGTGTTCTCCAATAAGACACAGGGCTGAAACGACACGCAGAGAGAGCCCAGAACTCATCCCGGTGTGCCGAGTGTGCAGATTATAGGTGTATCCTGTCACTTAGGTGTCACTAATGTACAGAGGCAGATCTCACAGCCGACATGCTGCCTGTATTCCTTCAGGTAACGCTCACCTTTTCCATCCTGGTGATAGCTGCTGTGTCAGCTCAACAAGGAAAGTGCTGTGGGACTATTTTAGTTTCTAGCTTCCACTGACAGAAGAAAAATTCAGCTCAGATAAAAATCTGTCAGACAATAACAGAAATGGGCGCTGACTTGAGAGCAGCGTTTAAAAGTAGACATTGGCACCACTGATTGCAAACACGTGGCTCTTAAGACACTTGATTAAAGTAAAAGCAAACGGCCATATCCACATACTTAACTATGGCTTTGCATTAACTTTAACTCTTTAAGTATTAAGTAGAAATGTTTTTGTAATGGCCGCTTTACCCAAGTTGAGCACAAGAACTACATTAAAGATGTAAAGGCCCTGTGAACCTGTACTGGCAGAAGACCGCATTCAGTCGATCATCCTTCTTCCTTCTCAAAAGAGGGTCTAGTTTGATAGTCATTGTTGGAAGGATTCAAAGAGTAGCACTACTGATTATTCAGAAACGAGCTCCCCTGGTGGCCTCTTACTTTCTTTTTTTTTTTGCCCTCCTGCTGAGCTGCTTGATTGAGTTTACAGTTGAGGAGGCCAATTTGGTGCCCGTGGAGAGGCCTGATGGGGGGGATATGGGAATGTATAATCGACATATAGTTCAAGAAGCAGAGAATTACATAAGGATTAAAAACGAAAAGAGAGACAACAGCAGAGGAGAGTGCTGGAAAATGACAGAGCTGGACGCAGAGCACTTAGTCACACGAGTTTCTCGCGTAGTGTTCTCAAATATCTTATTTTGTTGTATTTGAGATATTTGATGTTATCTAGCTTTTGAGAAAATAGTGCTCAGAGAACATAGTTCATCTTGAGTAATTGCACACAAAAGAAATAGAGAACAATAAACAACAGTTTTTAATCCAATTTTGACAATCATTAAGTGAAAGATGATGACGCTGACTCAGAAGATTTGCCTCTAGTCAAGCATATCGCTGTGTAAATACTATTGCCGTGGTTTGTCAGTGAATAAATGTTAACTAAGAAAACATTGTTTTAAGTGTTTATGGAAAAAATGTGACTTGTTTAGTCTATTTGGGTTTTTAAATGGTTGCTGTATTTCACAGTATCAGCAGGTTAACATGCTCAACAATAGCCTCGATCTCTCATCAGACTTGTACATTTTTACCTTTTTTATCTTGTGCAGGAGAGGTTCGAGGCATTGTTTAGGATCTACGATGAACAGACGACTTTCCAAATGTTCAAAAGCTTCCGGAGAGTCCGGATCAACTTCAGCACCCCAGAGGCAGCAGCCCGCGCACGCATTGAGCTACATGAGTCCGAGTTCAACGGCAAGAAGCTTAAACTCTACTTTGCTCAAGTAAGTGTCAGATGAGGGGTCTGGGAAAGGGCAGGAAGGGGGCCTGGGAGATGGAGGATCTGAGGCAAAGCACTGCTTATTTACATAGAGAGTTAGGGCACAGTGCATTGTGTGTGCACAGCAACACACAGAAAAACAAACTCGGAGAAAGAGCATGGTACACAATCTCCTCCCAAATTCTTTCAATTTCTCTTTTTAATCCATCTTTTAGTGTTGTTTGTATCTCTGAGCCACACCTGACTGCTTCCTGAACCTATGAGCCTTCCTGTCAAAACTCATCTGTTACATTATTGAGCACAAGAACACAGTTCTTGATTCCCCACCCACCCACTACACTGTAGGTGTGTGAACAAGTGTGTCTCTATGCAGTTGTGGGGAAGAGAGAGGTTGAAGGATGAATTTTACAGGTTACGTACTGTATAAATTGTATTTCAATCACATTTAAATAGCTATAAATTAATGTGTAGCAAGTCCAAAACACCCAGTTTAGCTCAGTTTTAGTCAAGAAAAGTTGTGCTTCCTGAAAAAAATACAAGTCACTGCGACTCCAACTGAAACTCCCTTTATCGCGAATACATCATCAGTCATGACCCCTGCTGCACCTTTTAGTACTTTGATGTAAGAGGATTAAGGATTTTACAGCTTGACAGATGCCACATGTAGGTATTGTAATTACAGCAATTGGCAGCTATCAAAATGCTGAAATCCATTCATTGGAAAAAGCCTGTTATTTGAGACTTGAAGACAGAGCTTCTGACTGAAACTTCAGTTTATCCTGTGCATATAACCAGCGGACAATGAGACTTGTGTATGAATTAAGAGAACAGCCGTTTCATCATCTATCATCTTCTCTCCAATAGATCCAGAATGGTGACGAGGACATTGATAAGTCATATTTGGCCCCTCCCCAGCCAGTCAAACAGTTTCTGATCTCGCCCCCTGCCTCGCCGCCTGTGGGCTGGAGCCAGAGCGAAGACGCCACGCCCGTCATCAACTACGACCTGCTGTGCGCCGTAGCCAAGCTCGGACCCGGTCAGTACTCAACTTCAACACGCTCGTGCTCTGTGTTGGTACTCGGTGCCTACAACAGGCGTAACACAGGGAAAATGGTGTGCAACAAATGTATGAAAAAATCTCCTTTGAATCATTCGTCTCTGAACAGTAAAGCCGAAAAAAAGCAGGAAATTATTTCATGCACCTCAGGGGGGCGATGTGGAAAGGATATTTATCTGGGAAGCAATCATGACAAAAGGAAATGGAACATTTTTGAATTATAGCTCTTTTAATCTTGACTTTTACTGCGGCGCGTTAGTCACTTCTGAATAGCGTCTGAAGTACTTGTTCAGAAGTACATTTAAGGAATGCTGTGCCATTTAAAAATCTGTCTTTCTTAGTGATCTCAGCGAACAACTTCCTGCTGCTGTGGTTTTTTGCAGAGAAGCATAAAAAAGGAAACGCCAGACTGAATCCCACGAATCAAATCCATTGTTCGAGCTATGATACATCAGCATCAAGGGTCATTGTCAGTACATATACAATGAAAGAAGCAGTGGATTCAAATGATTTTGCATAACATACACTGACTAATGAGTAAACCCCTTCATAGAAACCATAAGTGGATTTTTGGAGGTGGTGAACGTCTGTGTGTATTTCTTTTCTATCTGCAGTATTAAACTAGGATTAGAAAGTCCTGCAGGGACGATTTATTTCAGTTCATCATTACTTATTTCGGGGATTTAGGAGGAGTCATTAAGGGAGGATGGTAAACCAATGGCAATAGTTTATAGAATCTACCCGAGTGAATCTGCTCTGCTTTCCATTTAGTCGAGCCAAGTTAACATTCATCAATGCCACCCAGGAAAAACAAAACATCCAGTGTGGAAATAGTTGTAGCAGCTAATCTTACAATCACGTTCCTCCCCACCTCAAGAACAATACTGTTTCATTCTTTCCATGTCTATGCAGATCAACAATTGCATCCTTGTTAATCTAAGTTTAAACAGAGTTCTAGAGGCTCTCAGAACTAAAGTTAGCTCAGTTAAACTGGCAATAGACTACTTGAGTGTTGGCATGCATGCCCAGCTTGCACGGAGCTGCCACAAATGCTAAATACCTTCCTGTTTTAAACCATCCACTCGTATCAGACTAATATGTCGGAAGATTTTATTTCTTACACACACATAGTGTAAATGATAGCAATTGGATATCGTTCAGGTCTCACTTTGCCCTGGAGATTTTGTACCTGGTTGCATATAGAGTGGCATGGCAATATGAAAGCTAATGAGGAACCAGTCTAAATGAGGCAGCACAAACCACCACAGTTAGACTGGCAAGTAAACACCTGCACCTCTGTCTGCCTTGTCAGCAAGATATCAGATCGCCGCAGCCTTTAGAAAATGTCACCTAACACGCACAAGAAGGTGTGCCATTTCCACAGCGTCTTTCCATGCTTGCATATGTGGATGTGATCATGCTGATGAAGTGGAAAAAACAACCCGAGCGCCATTTATTATCACCAAAACTGATGATTAAACTCGCCACGTCCTCGCACGCACAATTACACACACACAGTCCAGTTCGGAGGGCCATTTTGACATGTTCTGCTTTTACCATAGCAACACGAGGCTTCAAGAAACTGCTTTGTTCTGCGCGTCACATCCTGCCATCCAACATCAGATTAGCTCAGGGCTGCAGCACAGCACGCTGACTCCCTCTGTCAACTCCCCGTGGTAACAGCAGGACTATATTCGGTGTCCCTCTCTTGTGTTTGGCACCACGGCGAAAAGCGACAAGACCAATTTCCTCCTGTCTGCCAGCTGTCTGATCTCCATGGCGACTGTGATACAATCTCACAAGAGTCCGTTTTCAATCAGAGTCCGCTGAGTTTGGCATCCAGACAAATGGCAAGAGTATTCCGGGGAGTAGTTGTCTCTTGAACACGTATCCTGATTTGTTCCTTAACCAACAGGAAAAACAGCTGTCACCATATAATAGATGCCGTACATATTTCAAACATAAAGTATATTTAGTTAGTCAACCATATTAGTGCAAAATTAGTGCTACTCTAGACAGAAGGAGGAGTGTTTTTCGTCTCCTTATCATTCATGGGGGATGTATTCAAATCCCTTCAGTAAAATCAGAGGCACTATAAGAGAGAGACAATTAAATGTGGAACTGAAATTTATGTGAAGGTTTTGGAATGGCAAAGACAAATGTAGAAATACAATTTCCACCTAAGTGTTACTACTTATATAAATTTGATCATATCTGGTGGTTTTATACATGCACTCTTAATGGTATGGTGTCCATTGGTATAATGAATAATGCTTCAAAATAACTGGGCAGTATCCTGCCTCCAGGCATTTGAAATGGTCAATAATATTGACTTACTTTTAGACTTAAGGTTGTAAAGTTCTAATATTACTCAAAGAGAGCAAAACATACAGCAGTTTCCTCTGGAATGTACACTACATTAAATGATTAACTTGCATGAAGCCTCTTCTACTGAGCAATGTGTTAGTCCAGTTCTCAGTACTCTGAGTTTTGCCAGTCTCTCTTTACCACAGTAGTGGTTTTGCTTTCATATTTAATCCGTAAATGTCCAATTACCCTTTTTTTAGTTTATTTAATTGAAAAAAAGAATGATGTACTGTGTGCGTATATATTGATAGGTAGATATAATGATTAGTTTGCATTTAATCTTCCAACAAACTCATTCTCATAAACTTAGAATTAATTAATAAATTAAAATACGTAGGTGCTGCTGCCAGTTTGTGGAAGTCGCAATGTTTCCCTGCCATCTTGAATACAGTGGCCGAGACGGACATCGCTGTTCTGCCTAATTGTGTTAAGTTTGTAGATACAGACCCGCCACATATGTATTAGATGAGAAGATGAGAACTCATAAGAAAATTGTAATTCATGCTTATTTATTATAAGTTTCAATAACACTAGTTAAAAACAGCAGCCTCTGATGACAGAAAATTTCAGGATGTTCTCAATAACTCCGCTCAGTATCATCAAGATGGATCAGACTTCTTTAACAAGCTTACAGCCGCCTCCAGAAGTAAACATCGACACATACAGACAGCTGAGATGAACAGCTGACTAACGGCCTGCTAAGAAAACAGCAGATTGTGGGATGTATCTGGTCTGGAGTCATTTTGTTATCTGAGTACACTAAATACAGATGAACGGCAACCAGTTTTATAGGTGACTCGAGTGTAGAAGCATAAAATATCGCACATAAAATATGAAATATGATTGTCCTACAGTGGCCAGGATTATGCACTGCCGCAATTTGCTGACATCTAGTGGTGATATTTTACAGACTGTAACTTAATGGCTCTTCTCTCTTTCCATCCCCTCAGGTGAAAAGTATGAACTCCATGCAGGAACAGAGTCCACCCCCAGCGTGGTGGTCCACGTGTGCGAGAGCGAAACAGAGGAGGACGAGGCAGCGCGGCCAAAGCAGCAGATTGTCCAGACCAGACGTCCCGACGGACCCCCAAAGGTCTTCAACTAGAGAGGCCTCCCTTCCAACACCAGTGGGGCCAAGACCGCCACTTAAGCCCACAACACACCTGCCCTCTCTCTCTCGTCTCTGCACTCACAGAGAGCGTCGATGCCCCTCATTTCAGTTCAACTAAAGCAAAAAAAAAAAAAAAACAACCAACAAACATTGCTCGAAGACGGTGTTTGTGGGGAGCGTGGCGATGGAATGAGGTGGCTTGAAGGGGATGGATGAGAATCACACACACACACTCATCACATTCTGTGGACAGCCTGGGGGAGCGGTAGGCATGCTTGCCTCCACCCCACTAATCTCCCCTCGTTTTCGGCAAGAGGGGTGGAAATACCTGTCCCTACGCAGGCACCTGTCACTTATCGCACACACTCAGCTCTCATTGCTAGTCCTGCTCAGTAGCTTGCTAGTCAGTTAGGTTGTTAGCTGTACCTCTCCCTTCGTCTCACAGTCATATGTAATAATCGAAGATCTTTGGTTGAGGACATGTGATACTTAAGCAAAGATATTTTTCTTTTCTTTCTGTTTTTTTAAACAATAAATTGTGTTTTTAGGTTATACATATGTATTATAAATGTCTATTTTTTTCCTCCTTTTTCATATCTGCTGGTTCGCAGTTTCCGCTCTCATTAAGACTGACTGTGTGATGTTTCCGCTCTTGTCTGCATGTATATACTGTATTACAAAAAATACCTACAGAAACACAAATACTAACAAGCTATATCAAGAAAAAGGAACCTATTTAACATCACACACAGCACGAAGCGCCATATGTGACTAACAAAGTTGTGGTGGTTGTCTAACTTTTATTCTTTTTTCTTTTTTTTTTTTAATTTTGCTTTTGTCCTTTTTTATTTGGAGAGGTGTTTTTTTGCTGTACTACTAGATGTGTATACTTACTACGTATTTGATACCCCAAAACTTTTTGCATGCTAAGTTACTTCTGTAGATGAAGAGCTGAGGTGTATTTTTTTTCTTAATTGATGTTCGTGACTATGACAGAGGAACGGGTTGATGCTTTTGACGCAAGTGCATATTTGCGCACAGGGTTGAAAGTATGTGAAACGGGGGGTAGAAAAATAAAAGCTGAATGAGTTTTTGAAAGCTTGACAGTTCAGTCTTTGACTCGACGGCAAATTTGCATGTGTCACTTTTTTGCGATTTGACAGGTCAAACCCCCTTATTTCTTCAAAGGGGTGTCGGGACGGGGTTTGTTTTTCTGTTTTTTTCTGATTCTGTTTGTTGTAATTCACAACTTAAATGTATTTTTTTATGTTATTTAATCAAACCCACAATCTGTGTCAGGTTTCCTCCGAAACCTTCTACTGCTTGTTTTGCACTGAGAATCTCTCGATATCTCCGAGCAATTGTGGGACTCTTGATCGTCTCCTGCTGCGCACCAGAGTACTGCGCTGCGTCTGGCTGTAAATAGCTTAGCGGAAAAAAATTTGTTGAAATAGTTCCTTTAGATATTGCTGTTTACCTGAAAGCATTTTGCTGAGAAAAGGGAAAATTAATCACGCCACATGAGATACACCAACCAAAGCATCGACTCATCTCCTAACGTAAAATGATTTCTTTCTTACTCAGAGACTCTGATCTGTATTTCTAAACACAAGGATATCATGTTTCCCCCGACCCACTTGCAGTAGTTTGTATTGAATTAGCGCTCATTTTATAAAAACATACATTCCTTAATCTACAGCTCACCTTTATTTTGTTCCAATAAAATCAAATCAGACCAGTGTGTTTCACCTCCACTAAATGAAACAGTTCAGCGCTTTAAAAGCAACACAAAGGAGGCGAGTCTGAACCTCATTTGTGTCATCAGACAGCATGAAATCTAAAAGTACTTTTTGCTATGTAACAATATTAGTAAGCAAACTACAAGTCTGTGTGCATGTGAGCACTTTACTGTCAGTGTGCTGTTATTTCCTTCACATAAAAGTCTTTTTTTAAAGACAAAGTAGGAAGCACATTGTATGTCTTCAGTTTTATTTCTAGTGTTGTTTGTTTTATCTCAAGCTAAACACCTGGTTAGCCTTTTCACCAGCATATTGCAGTGAGTGAAACACTCCACTTCCTTTTTGCTCGTGTGAACCTTTCAGGCCTTTTTTGGATCTGTGGAAGTGCGTTTCTGAAAAGCGGTGTGGACATGCAGTGCAGTTTTAGGTTTGAGAGAGAGAGAGAAAAAAAAGAAAGGAGGCAGGATGACAGTGCAGAACAAAATCACTATCTTTGTTTTTGTGTTTGTCCACAAGAAACATTCATTTTATCTTCACAGGATATGAAATGGTTCTTTGAAATGCACCGTGTTGGCAGAGTGCACTTTTATTGGCACTCCGGTTAAGCTGTCGCAGTTATCTAAGCAGACGGCAGACTGGTGGAGCTGCTGTGATGGATGATATTGTAGAGGAAGCAGCGGAGCAGAAAGAAGGACACAAGGAAAGATTTTTTATCTCTTTTGTCATGGTGTTTTAACAAACTGGTGCATTTGGTCACAGTTGAAAAGAAAATTTATATTTATGTACATATGCCAAGTGTTTTTTCTGTTGCTGAGGCCAGTCCCGGTGTGCAGTTTGTTATGGCTTCTCTTGGCAATGTTGTAAATGGAAACAAAAAAAGACAAAAATGTATAACAATAAGTTCCGAAGATGCTCGATCAAAACCGACAGTCATCTTGTTGTGTTCAACATGGACTCTGTTTGAATGTTTCTTTTATTTCTGGGGAACGTCTACTAAAAAGCTCAATTATACCGTTTGTCACTGTTGTACTGTTTCCGTTGAAACCTGAATATTGTGTCTTGTATCGTAGGAATCGAGAAAACAACGTAGCAAAACGAGCAATAATTTATAGTTCTATAATACCAGTATGTGTATTTTCATGTTCTGTACTTATTTCTCAGAGATGGTCTCTGTCTCTTACAGTATCCGCTTCGATTTGTGTAGTATAATAGTCATTTGTTTCACATAGAAAAAAAAATACATAAAGACTTATTCTTAAAATCTATGTTTAGTGTTGTTTATTTCAGGTGTGTCTTTGCTCGAGGGGCTACACTTGGGATGCAAACACAGAAACAGAATCTCATTCCAAAAAATTAGATAGTTATAGTCATCCAGAAAGTGAGCTATGTACAGTGTATGTACTGGGCTACACCTCTTAATCTTTGAATCCAGTCTTTTCCAGTCATATTATCGTAAACAGGAAGCTTAGCTGTGCGGTCTGCCTTTACAAACATCTGTAAAAGAATACGTTTTTCTACAAAACATCACGGAATTCATGAGTCCTACTGTAATAGGATGCCACTGTCACAACACGTCACATCACGAGTTTTTATTCCCTCCCAGATGTAAGTGGTATAATTGTGCAATGGAAACCAGAAGGTGGCAGAACACGTAAAGTTACAGAGCAGCTTAAAAGCATTGCCAATGCTCTGCTGACTCAGTAACTCAAGAGTTTCAAACCTCGGGCGTTTCTGTGGCTAAGCAGCTCCTGTAAATGTGTAATTGTTCCGGTACTTGTGTCCATAAAGTGTGTGTTGTGCCAGACATACACCTGAGTAAAATCTAGTCTCCCAGTTTGTGGCTTTCATAGGTTTTCATTACATTCACAGAATTCAGCATTAATTTACCAAATGCAAAATCTTTAAAACATTTCCTGATTTTGTTCTTCTTGATCATAACTGAAGGCTTATTTTATTTTACCAAGGCCAGCTGTTAATTCTTCAATAGATTATATTTATGTGACAGAATAAATCTTATTACTTAGTATTTAAGTACAATTTTGTTTTTAATACCAAAAACTAGAAAGTCATTTGCAAATAACTACTTTTTTGAAATAGGAAATAAACTGTAAGAACTTGGCATTTTTTCATGTAGAGGAAAGGTTTTTTTCTTTTTGCCTGTATGAGCAGCAGATTCTAAAGTGAGAAGAGAGAGACCATCTTGAATTCTCAGCCCACATGATCTCTGCTACACAAGTTCAGCATCAACAGCTTGCATGCTTGTGACACAATTACATTGTTGTAGTTCCTACACAAGACCACATTTGGTATAATGGGGGACAGTAACTGACCTTTTTGCTATCAAAATGTCTTTAACTTGTGTTTATAAAATGTCAGCATGCTAAGTTGCTTTGTTTCAATGCACTGTATGCTAGCATGCTGACTGTAGCACTTAGCACATGACACCTGTCCAGTCATGTGACTGCAACAATGAGGGCAAACAGGCAACAAATGCTGGCCCACACTGGCCAATTTTGCAAATTCACACTGGCATGTTTCAGATCACAGAAGAAGTTGCAATATTAGACAAAGATAACCAGCTACCTTGAGTTAATACAAAATGCGGTTTTGATTACTTCATTTATTAAGATAAAAGATCCATCCAAACCTACCTGCCCTGTGTGAAAAAGGAACGTGCACCATTTGGTAAATGGCCTGTATTTATATAGCGCTTTACTAGTCCCTAAGGACCCCAAAGCGCTTTACATATCCAGTCATCCACCCATTCACACACAGGTGATGGCAAGCTACATTGTAGCCACAGCCACCCTGGGTGAAGTGTCTTGCCCAAGGACACAACGACCGAGACTGTCCAAGCCGGGGCTCGAACCGGCAACCTTCCGATTACAAGGCGAACTCCCAACTCTTGAGCCACGATCGCCCCATTTGTTAAATAATGAGTTAATGGTGATTAACCAAATCTCACTTCAGTTTCACTGACCACACCCAGGCTTCATTACTGCTAAACCAGATGAATCATGAAATCGGTTAAATAGAACCAGTCTGACAAAGTGAAGTAGACTAAAATACCTCAAAAGCAACACATCATGTAAAAATTTGAAGAAACAGCTGAGAAAACAAGTCACTGAAATCTATCATTGTTGAAATGGTTACAAAACCATTTCTAAGGCTTTGGGACTCCAGTGTATTACAGTGAGAGACATTATTTACAGATAGAGAGAACTTGGAGCAGTGGTGAACCTTCCCAGGAATGGCCAGCCTACCAAAATTACTCCAAGAGCACATCAGTGACTCATCTAGGAGTTCACTAAAGAACCCAGAACAATATCTAAAGAACTGCAGGCCTCCCTTGCCTAAATTAGGGCCCGTGTTAATGATTCATGATAAGAAGGAGACAA